GGCATCAAGCTGGACTTCAAAAGGTGACTCTTCGCCTCCGTTGTCGGCACAAAGAAAACGGAGGGCATCTTTCGCCAGCAGCCATATCACCCTGCTGCTCACAACTGGGAGCCCACTGAAGCTCAGCAGGTGTGAGCCTGGTCAGTACCTGGATGGGAGACTCCTGGGAAAGCTGAGGCTGCTGCTGGAAGAGGTGTTAGTGGGGCCAGCGGGGGGCGCTCACCCTGCGGTCCATGTGGGTCCTAATGCCCCAGTATAGTGACGGGGACACTGTACTGTAATAAGGTGCTGTCCTTCGGATGAGATGTAAAAACAGGTCCTGACTCTCTGTGGTCATTAAGAATCCCAGGGTGTTTCTCGAAAAGAGTAGGGGTGTAACCCCGGCATCCTGGCCAAATTTCCCATTGGCCCTTACCAATCATGGCCTCCTAATAATCCCCATCTCTGAACTGGCTTCATTACTCTGCTCTCCTCCCCACTGAGAGCTGGTGTGTGGTGAGTATCATCCAGGTGGGGCTGCACACTGGTGGTGATGGAGGGGATCCCCATCACCTGTAAAGAGCTTTGAGTGGATTGTCCAGAAAAGTGCTATATAAGTGTAAGGAATTATTATTATTATTATTATTATTATTTTCTATCATTTTAAAGATGCTATAGCAGCTTGCTGCCACGAGAGGGCGTGTTTGTACCAAAGGTTAATAAATACCAGTCCAGTGCAGCACAGAGAGGAGATGAGGCCATTCTGTTCACACTGGCTATTTGTTTTGTTTTTCCCTGTTGTGCATCTAGCCAGTACTAGTTTTCTAGCTTTACCGGGAACACTCCCCGGAAACATGAAATCATTAAATCCCCAAGGAAGGGACAGCATAGGTCAATCAGCCTGCAGAGATCTCACAGACTCCACACGGACAGTCGCCTGTAGCGCGAATCGAGCCCCAAGTCCCACCTTGCAGAAGTCACCTAAGTTTAGAGACCCTGTTTTTTGTGTTTTTGGCTGCTGTCAACGATGGTCCCATTTTTTTATGTGCAATCCTTTTTACTTTCATCGTTGGGCAGGCGAGCCGGTGTGCAGCTCGTAAGCGCAGTCAGTGCGTTTGAGAGTCACGGTCCTTTCCGTGATTCAGGTCACTCACAGGCTTTGCTTTTGAATAATCATCATCATCATCATCATCATTATCATCTTTATTTTATTTAGCACCTTTAAAAGCAGCTTCTCTGCTTTACAGAAAAGTCGAAAAAAAAAACAATGGAAACAGCCACAAGGATGGGAGATGAAATTAGCACAGGGAATCAGAAGCGTTTGTAATGGAGGAGAAGATGCAGAGGAGCGGACAGACTTCGCAATAAACGGGAGCCTTCCTGGAGAGGGAGGTTTTGAGTCTGGATTCGCAGGCGCTCGGGGAAGGCGAGTCGAGATATCTGTGGGGATGGCATTCCTGAGCCGGGGGGTTAGCGGGAGACGCGCGGCGTTGCCGTGGCGCGGAGACTGAGGCCCTGTCCTTCCCCCCCTGTGCTCCCAGCCTGCCCGCGGTGCGCCCCTCCCTGAGGCTGCTGGAGCGCGTGTGGGAACGCCTGCAGGGCCCCCTGTGGATCAACGCGGACGTCCTGCCTGGCCCCGGCGGCGGGGGCAGCCGGCCCCTGGACCCCGAGGCCTTCCTGGCCGAAGTGGGCGCCGCGCTGCCGGGGGCGGTGCTGTCTCTGGGGTGGACCACTGGCGGGAGCCCCCAAGCTGACAACACAGGTCTGGTATGCACACTGAGTACAGGGGGGCTCTCCGGCTCGCTCACCGGACTGGAGCATCGTAAGGATGGACGTGTCCGCAGCCCCAGCTCACTGGAGCGCTGTTTGCAGTTTTCATTATAGGAGAAGTTCAGGTTCACGTTTATTTGTCATTCCAGCCATATACAAGTATACACTGGAACAAAATATTGTTCCTCCTGGTCCACGGTGCAGATACAGACAGGACACTGGCATAGACATTGTAGACAGGGTACACATAGTGCAGAGTGCAGATAGTGTGAATTACAAGGCAAATACTTAATTCAATATGCACAACACACTGGGGGATTTAAACCCTGTTTCTGGAATTGGGGTGGGAGATAATACTGCATGTCTCGTTGTTATATTTTTATAGATGTAAAGACAAAGCATATTGGTACGATACTTGTTTCATATGTACATGTAAAAAAGGTACATGTTTTGCTGTTTCTCTGTGTTCGTACTGGGGGTGGTCCTAGACATACGTGTTAATAGAAAGCCAGGACGCCCGCCGGGCCCGTTGCTCAGGGTTCTGGTCCTGTTGCGCCTCAGGGTACAGCTGGGAGATGGTGCGGGAGATGGAGGCGGTGTGCCGTGCCCTGGCGCGGCCGGTGAGCTTCCCCGTGCGGGCCGCGCTCCTGCGGCCCTCCTTCGCTCAGCTGCGCTGGCTCCTGCAGCAGTCCGACAGGTAGGGTCCGCTCCGGCGGGGGGGAGGCTGGGACGGCTGTTTTGTTTTGTTGCCTGACCGTTTCCAGACTTTCACCTCTGACTCGGCACTGACCCTGGTTATACCTTCCTGGGCTCTGCTTCGCCTGGAGCATGCAAGAATTGGGCCCTGATTATCTCTAAAGGTTTTGTTGGGAGACTTTTTCACACAGACTCCCTCCTCTCTTTACAAGGTGAGGTGCAGATTAAGAGCTGGGCATCGTAAATGATCTTGCTTCTGTGCACCTGGTGCAGTTCCAGCTCGGTATATTAATGGCGCATGCCAGTGCACAAGAAATGTCTTTAAGTTCTTTCGCTCTTGAGCTTTGGACTGGAGTGGTGCAGAGCCATCGATCTGGGCTCTCTTCTGCTGCCAGGCTGTCTGTTTATGTGTGTGCAGAAGAGGAAGAAGTAGGGCCTTCGAATTCTGCTTTGCGCTGCCGTCGTAGCTTGTGATACAAGAAAAGTGTTTTTTCCTGCGGTGTTCAAGGCTGCTGCCTGAAGGCTTACCACATTTTATTTAGTAAGTGACCAGAAATGCCCGATGTTTTGAGGGTCACCTGGGTGGAGCACTTTGCGCTCAAGTGCTTGCCGGTCGCTTGACAGCTGTGTCCACAGAAGCTTAATTATTAATTATTCCCGAGGCCACAGTGACTTTCACTCACAGGGGTTCGGTCTGTGAATGAAAGTCACACTTACTACTCTGTGGGATTTACGTCAAATCATTTGTAAAAATACAGTGCCTGCTGTATGTTCCTTTTTCAACAGCATTCCAAGGATGCAGTACAGGCCTTTCATCACCAGATCACACTGGTATCAGTCATACGGTCTGGTGCGTCATTAGGCTTTCTTGGGTTGGTTTGTCGATTGCCTTCAGTTTGTGGCTACCAGTGACCCCACACCAGAATCCCCATCGTTGACCCAGAGTCCATACCTGTGTGCTCCTCTCTGTCTCTGTCTCAGGTACAGCCTGACGGTGTGGACGGGACAGGGTGACATCTACCCTGAGGAGGACCTGCTGCTCTTTCGGCAGGACTTTGACAAGAGCAGAATCTATTACGACGTCCCAGAAGCCCAGGGCGTCCTGCTCACGAAAGGCCCGGGCTAGCCTCGCGCCCGGGCGGCCCTGTCCCGCCTCACGGCAGAGCTCGGGGTCTCACTGCCGCGCGGGGGAGCAGGGGAGTCTCCGCGCAGCTCTGGGAAGGGAACCGCATCTGAGGAGGGCCTTTCTGGAGTGCGAAAGACAGCAAAAGGCATCACACGGGTACATGCATTCATTGTTCAATTTCATATCTATGCATTTTTATGTATTTTATATGGTTTTATGTGTGTATTCATGTATAGAGCCTTGAGAATGATAAGAGTTGAAAGGTGCTCTGTAAGAACTGGTGCAATAAAGCTGCATAGAATACTGTATCAACACACAGTGGACCCCTTCGGAATCGGTCAGACGTGAGAAGCTGAAACCAGAGAACAGTTTTTTTCCTCGGAAGTCCATGATTTCATAAGATCTGAATATTTCAGCTGAACCTTCAATCCACCCTCTGTATCAAAATGTGCCGTTGCATACTACATAATGCTGCAAGTACGAAATATTGCTCTCAGGTAATTGATATGATCGGAAGGTGATGTGATAACAGCTTGTTTCTAGTATTTGAGCCGTTTCTCTGCGGCATTGAGCTCCACTGCTATATTTGAACAGTTGTTGAACGGCGAGTGGCCACGTGCCTATGACTGACTGCAGTTTTTTACCAGGTTCATGACCACAGAGGTGATAATCCCAGTGCAAACGGCTTGTGATCTATCTGATTTGCATGCTCCCCGGCATGTGTAGTGTTTCTGCACACGCAGGGAGCGAAGGAGTCAAGACAGGGCAGGAATATGGCTGGTGTCCATTCGCTCATTCAAAGCCTACATGCTGTATGTTTCTGCGGAGCTCTCCGAATGATGAAATGTTACACCACAGTTTCTGTATTACTTACACAGAAAAGTAGGTACGTGCGCCAGGCTCTTGGTGGAGAAATGCCACCGTTTGTTAGAGGTGTACAGCTTTGAACTGTATGTAATATAGTGGAGCCTGAGGCCGCCTTCAAAAACGGAGCGAAGATCTGTCGCACAACACAAGGGGAGCTGTCCACTGTGGCACTGTAGTCTGTGGTGCTGAAATGTCAAGCTAGCTGTCCCCTACCATGCTCTCTCCTGGTGCCAATTATACTGTATATATTTCCCTTTAATCCTATATTTAGGATTTACTTATAAGTAAGCATTTACTTATACTTGATATTGTCTAAACTCTGGAGACATCCATGTTCATCACAAAACTCACTTCCAGTGGTGGATTTTAATACACCTGTGTTTGTGCTTTCATTCTTCTGCGCTGTGGTGTGGTCTGATGTCTGCTGCTTTTCTAAATCTGCTGATTTCCCTTTCTTTTTCCTCTGCAATGTGTATTTCGACCCAGCAGACTGTTCTGGGGTTAGAAGTAACGTTTTAATTGCTAAAGGATTATTGCTTTTAAATAATGAACTGCGACAGGAGAACAATTGTGGATGCGATGTGACGGTAATGTAAAAATGTAAATGTAGAAGTGCCGTTTGGAGCTCATGATTCATTACCAGAAGGCGGCCTCTCACTGTGTTAACAAGTTAATCTGCTCCATTCATAGACCCCCTCCTCCACCTTACCTCCCACCTGCTGGTATTCGAGTTCCCTTTCATACAATGTCAGCACTTCAACCAACTGGGATCCTACAATGTTCCTAGCGTCAAGCTCCAGATATCAAGTCCAGATTCTGAAATCCACGTCTAAAATCTCTAAAATCTTGAGAATGTCAACGGCTGAAAGCAAACTTCATGCATTCAGATTGAAAAGAACAGTCTCTCTGTGTAGTGGGAAAAAAACAAGGGCCAGCAAAATTGCAAGAACCCTCCTCTTTTTAACAATTGGAGAATGTGTGGAGCGATTGACTCAATTACACATATTTCGATCACACAGTACCATGGGTGTTGGTGGACCAGTAGGTGGCGATCTTCCCTCTGGACCTGAATTTCCAAGCCAATGCCCCAGTCAGGTAACCTTGGGTTCTGTGCTGCAGGAGGTGCCATCCTTCAGAAGAAGTGTTGCACCTAACACCTCGTTACCTGGTTGTCACACATAAAGAATACACTGCAAGAACAAGAGCAGGCCGTCTGACCTGTTTGGAGGTATCTAATTGATATGAGGATATCATGTAGCTGTTTCTTGAAGGAAGCGAGGGTTTGAATGTCAACAACTAGGGGGTCCCACACTCCAGTACCCTTTTGTATAAAGAATCTATCTGTAACAGTGGGGTGTGCACCCCAGTTTCCTGGCTCAACTGCACCCAGAGCTTTATGTGGTTCTAAACACCTCTAAAGCACTTTGTAATAGACTTCAAGATGAAATGTGTGAAGTAAGTGCAAGGAGCTGGTATTGAAGCCTTCTAGATTGTTGCTTTGTGGTTAGAACATTTTCACTTGCATGCAGTTTAGTCTGAACATTTATCTGTTGTTATCAACAGATTGAGTGTTTTGTTACCTTTCCTCCACGGTACAGAGGGCCAGTCTTTTTGCACTTGAATATATGGTGATCCCATTCAGTACAGCCACCCCTGCGTCATTTACGTCATTGGTGGGATGGATTTGTAAGAGCCCAGCTATTTGAGACGACTTTTGGAAAAAAACAAGCTCAGCCCCAGAAGTGTTTTACAAATCACATTTTTTTAAAAAACTTTATGAATCATAATAGTTCTTTGCAGTTGTGATCTATTGCAAACTAACACGTGCAAAGAGCTGCTTCAGAAGGAAGATGCAGAGGTGAAAGGTCAAAAGATGAATGCACCAGAGAGTGAAACGTTTTGCTACCGGTTACCGGTTCACTGTGCCTTCTGCAGTTGCGTCTGCCAGTATCCTTTCTGTCTGCTCGTCTTGCAACCTTATCTCTGCATCAGGCCACCTCTGATGTATGTACAGTTCCACCTGTCAGTTGGAGTCTGGAGAATTTTCCCATTACCGATTAATGAAGGGGACTTTTAACAGCAGGGCGGCGTGTTTTGAGTTCTCATGGTCAGTGTACACAGGAGAACATGACAAACGCACTCATATCTTATGTATACTGCACACAGCGCACAGGCTGACGTTTTGTGTAGGTGGATGACACAGTTCTAAAGGGCAGCCCAGGCTGTCTTTGAAAGTAGATATGAGATGAAATGAGGCAGAATAGAGCACAGGCTGGAGTCTGCTTCTCAGGGCTCTGGAATGAGGAGCTGGTAATGTATCCACATTTATGGTATGATTTTAGCTTTCACATTTTGTTTTACTGTCTGAACTGCAAACCTTCAATTAGAGTTTTAAATAGAAGGCGTTATGAAAGAAGTAATAAGTCAAAAGGCTCTTTGGGCACGGACTATGCTGTAGAGTGCAGTGTCAGAATTGCAGAGCTGCTGCTGGATGAACATTCAGATGTTCCCTCATTCACATCAGACTAAAAACACCCTTAAATCGCCTGTCCTCTTCCCAGTGCACTAGAAATTTACAGATTTTTTTATGTAAGAAGAAAGATCCACTTTCCAACTTCTCATGTTTTGTAAGCATGACTATAACAGATAATTCACTGGACTTGTCGTTTTCCAATATAGATTTATTATGCACAAATATATTGTATTGGATATATTAATTTTCCTTCAGATACGTCTGTAATTTCTTACATGCATGTTTTTACAAACATGTTTAGCTTATACTTCTTAAACATGTATTATTAATACTCATTTTGCAATGACATTCACAAGTTGTCTCACCAATGTTTGCTGTAAACACTTTGAAATGATTGCCTTTAAATAAGCTATACAGTTTATTATCACTGCTGTAATTCTCTATACATACACCTGTGAAAACCTTTAGTTCATCTAAATGTAATCTAGTTCCTTCCACATCTACTTGTTTAATTTCAGGGAAAGGTTTTTATGCTGGATGCAGATTTTCTTTGCAGATTTAGGAAGGACACTGCAGAAACAGAGAAAAAAATTGGTGCAGTAAAGTCTTTTATTTCAAAAACAGCTTTTGGTTGTCACCTCTGCAATATGTCAATAGAAACAGACACTTGTTATGCACTCCAAATCCCCCGTACAGTGCCTTCAACGATATTGCATCTCTGCATTAGCTATGGCTGTGCTGTTCTTTGATGAACAGCATCATTTAAAAAGCAATAAAACAACCTAAGTGTTTGCTTCTACATTGGTAAATAAACAAACAGCTTGAACAGGAGGGGTCAGCGGTCAGCGGTGAGTCACCACGTGTTCGCTGTTGCTGCTCTTCCTCTACTCACACTCCAGAGCAGGCAGGTGGGCAGTGTTTGGGCCATTCATTTTGCAGGAGAGGAAGGAAAACTGTATTTTGCCGCTATCAAACATAATAAGACCAAACACTTCTCAAAACCCGTTGCACTAAGGCTGTATGAGGAAATCAAATCTGGGCACCGCTTACTGAAAACCTTTCCCATCACACCATCAGGATGCAAGCACAGAGGGCATGACCATTTGTGTACCATTTTTATAAATAGAACTGAAAATACCATAGACTCTCAGAATCTCCCAGTGAAGGAATAAACCTTTATAAGCAGATGTGCAATTATAATGATGTCCTGTTGATTTTGGATGTGTGCTTTTAGTTTCATTTTTAGATTGTATGTAAAGCTGGAATCAGGGGTAAGCGTTGTTCAGTGTTGTACACTACAGTATATTGGGGATTGTGACTTTAGCAAGCCACGGTCAGGAGATCTATGGGGTACAGCACTGCGCTGTTAGATATTTAGCTAGTGTTGGTGAAAGTTACTTTTAAATAGTTTTCCATTACAATGGATAACTTTTCTAAATCGATTTTAAGAATAAAATGTTACTTTACATAGTAACTATACACACACTACAAAGATCACTGTAACTGATGACTTATTAAAGTTAGCTCTCGACTTCCTGTTTGTTTTAAAAGACCTTAACTTATCACTGTCATGGATTACCGCTGAAAAGCAACTTTCCCCCACTCTGTGTTCAGCATGATGTCACACAATAGACAAGTTGGTGGCAGTTTTACAAAAGGAAATATAGATAGTGTCGAAGTCTTGGAGGTTAAGCTTCTAGGACTTACTTTAAACTGAATGAGCAAGATGAAGAACATGTCACCTTCTTGTTTTTAATCGTTCTGATGGTCCATCGATGTTGTGGGGAATGGAACAGCATAAGATGCCACTTGGCTCAGCAATCATCTTCCTCTAAATTCTTCTTATTGCTCCCATCTTCTGTTTAAAGCACTTTGCGGCACTCCGGTTTTACACAGCTTTGCGTTGGTTTCTATAGCTGGTATGATTGGAGTGACCGGCCACATTATTAGGCACGGTGTCACGGATGGTATCTTTGTGGATGGCTTTAGCTCTGAAGGGAACACAGAGTGTTTCTGTCAGCTGGGCTACAGTTTGAAGAGACTGAGAACTGATGCCTTCTGGGCTCCCAGCGGTCTCTTAGCCTTTAGCTCTTTGACCATTGCTGATCAGGACTGTCCTTTCTACCGCCACATCTAACTAGCTTCCATCCGCCGTCATGCTTTTTAGAAACTTTCCTGAAATGTTGTGCATTCCAGCTGTTGTCTGTTTTAAGCGGATGGCGCATGACTTCACTTTATCTACTCCATCACTGTAGCATTTTGTATTGAATGCTCTGCACATATCTATTGGGAAATATCCTGCAGAAAGAAACAAAGAACATTTAAAAGACACAACACACTGCCATTACCACTGGAAAGCTTGTTCTGTTGTCTGTTCCTTTAATGTGATGCATCTAATCTTCTTTTTTGATTTTATACTCGTGCTAACCAGTTTTATTTCCTCACAAGACGATTCACAAACACCTCTTCAAGAAATATTCCTGCCATGATATTTTAGTTTTCTGTTGCTGAAACTGGCGAGGCTGCAGGGAGATTACTCTTGCCACCCACATGTCTGCTTGCAACTTGTATGAATGTCACCAACAGGCAGGAAGGGCACAGATCTACCCCCAGTCTGATCAGGTCACCACTAGACAGAAAGATCGGTGGGAGGGCCCGTAAAGCAGAGGAGTGGAAGAGCCTGCCTCTCTGATATTTCTGCCAAACCTTTCAAAGGTGCAGCACTTGCTACCGTGGTTAAGTGTTCGCTGTCAGAACAAGCCATCGTAATGATGATATTTGGCCAATCAACAGTTTTAAGTCATTATTCTGAAAATGTGAGAAAAGAATTATAGGCTTTCAGAATCTCGTTGGAATCACTGCAGCAGCTTTAGCACCTACAAAGATACGTTGTGTTGTGAAAGCCTGTTAGGGTACACAGCAGTTCGATGAGTTCATGGCGAATTGCGGAACCCCTTTTAGAAAGCATGAGAGGAATGTGTGATAACACAGTGGAAACGCCGTAAAAGTGCAGCACACAGATTGCCGTGGAGCACCAAGAAACCGGTGCCGGTGTCTTATTAATGACCAAAAATCTCCTCGAAGTTCACCAGCTGTTTGATCTGCTCCGTCTGCATGGAGTGCCTCCGCAGCAGCATCTTCTTGGACTTGAGATCCTTGGGAAAGGTGGGAGCCGAGGGAATGAGGGGCTTGGGTCCCCCAGGGACAGCGCTGGCTGGCTTGCTGCTGTTGCTGTTGATGGCCCCAATGTCCGGGATGGGGTGGTGGGGGTTGAGAGGGGGGAGGTATCCTGGCCTGGTGTGGGAGATGTGATCCAGGAGCAAGGCTCCCGACCCCCTGCGCTCCAACATCCCTGGGTGCCTCCGAGCCACCTGAGCAGCAGACACGTTCTCCAGAGACTCCCGGGACCCAGACAGCGTGGAGTGGTGCACCGAGACGAGCTTCTTCTTCTCCAGAAGGCCTTTGCCGTCCTCCGCGTGGCTGGTGTACATGGGCAGCTGGGAGTCTGAGCTGTAGTGGTCCATCCCGATGTTCCTCCTCTGTACAATGTTCCTCAGGCTGGAGACAGCCAGGTTCTGGATGCAGTCGGGGTCCTTGTCCACAGGGATGGCGCCGCAATTGCGGCTGATGTCTGGGTGTGAGGCGGAGTGTAGCGAGTGTAACTCATCGTAGGACATCTTCCGGGACACGCCCCCTCCCCCGCCGGGAGACTGCTCGAACGTCTTACTCAGGCCGCCCGCGTCTTTGACATCAATGCTCTGGTGACGGGCGATGGGTGCCTTGGGGAAGGCCAGGCCGTTGATTCTGAGGGACAGCTCCTCCTCGGGGGTGATGTCCGGCAGGTCCTCGTTCAGGGAGGTGGCTTTGTTCTGCTGCAGGAGCAGCAGCGAGGGGGGGATTTTCAGCCAGGGTTCGGAGTGCAGCCGCTGCAGGTGCAGGAGTTTCGCCACCCCCCTGGCTGGGCTGGGCTTCCGAGTCGGGGAGCCCGGCTGGGAGTTGGCGTTGGTGGTGGCGGCGTGGGGGCACTGCTCCTTGAAGCTGAAGATGTGCTTCTCTGGCTCGGAGGTTACCGGAGAGGTCTTGAGCTCGATTTCCGAGGGGGACATGCAGGGCACCAGCGAGTGGCGGTCTTCCAGATCCGGAGGAGGAGGGACGTTCAGGTACTGCTTGGTCATCTGCCTCCCTGAGGGCAGCTTGTCCGTGGTGATGATGATCACCTCCTTCCCTCGCGCCTTGCACGCGTCCAGCAGGACCTTCAGCGTCTCCTTGTCGTCCGAATTGACGGCGTAGACCAGGGCGGAGCAGCTGGAGTGGTCCTCCAAGCTGGGGTCGGCGCCGCTCTTCAGCAGCAAGGACACCACCTCCACCCCGGCCCTCTCCAGGCAGGCGTGCATGAGCGCCGTCTTCCCGGACTTGTCCTGGATGTTGGGGTCGGCGTTGTTCTCCAGCAGGTACTTCACCATCTTGGCCTTGCCGACGCTCTGCTGGTCCACGTGCTTGGTCTTGCAGGCGATCATCAGCGGGGTCTCTCCGCGGTCGTTGCTCTCGTTGATGTAGGCGCCCCCCTCCAGGAGCAGGCGGGTCAGGCGGAGCCGGCTCAGGTAGACGGCCTTCAGCAGGGAGTTGCCGTCTGTCCGCACCTCCATGGCGTCCTCCATCCTGGCTACCCGGTCAGGGCCTCAAGCTTCATCCGCACGGCGCAGCAGGACCTGAGCAAAACCAGGAATGAGATGCCTGTCAGTCCCCAAACCTTTCCCCCCACGTCTTGTTCCATCTAGAGCACAAAGTAGCAACGGGAGACCTCCCAACGTCGGGTAGGCTGGTTCTCTACATCCCAAGCCCCGGGAGTCACCTTGAAAATGAAATACAATCTTATTTTAGCTTATTGATAATACGTCTGACCTTGTAAGTTCACACGTAATCTATTTGAGCTAATCACTGAATGTTCCCTTTTGGAAGTATGGCAGATGGTTTTCACCTGCGCTGCCTTCAAGGCTGGCTGTCGGTTCCAGAGTGCACTGCGCTGTACTGTCATCTATTTTAGCATGGTTATCCTTGATGGCTTTTTTTTTCCCGACTAAAATGACTTCCATCGCGGTGGAATTGGTGGAGGACAGGGAGCGCAATCTATTGGCCTGTGAAGACGTTTCGATGGAAACATTGGAAAACATCAGAACCGCGGCAGACGATGTCTTTTCGAGTCCGCTTTCGTTTCAGGTTTATTCAAATCGCTGTCCTTTAACCCGACGGAAAGTTTTCTAGGTTGGGAAACAAAAGCCCAGTCTGATCAGGATATATCAGCTGAGCCGCGAGCCGCGGTACCTCTCGTCAAGAGCTCATTGTCTGCTTCCGCACCTTTCAGAAAGTCTTTCTCTGCTGGTAGAATGTCATGTCTTGGCGCACGAAAATTAAAGAAAGGTATAAATGCGGGAAAAGAAAGGAAGACATTGAAAAGCGCTGAAAGGGTCAGGGTTAAATGTGACCTCACTGCAGCCTGTCGCGTAGATACAATGTGTGTGGGAGTAAGACTGCAGGGATAATGACTCTTTTCAAAATAATATCCTGCCATTCAAAGCTCTTTGTTGAAGGTGATTAAAAACTCAAGGTGAGGAATGTGTAGAAAAGATGGAGTGGGCTTCTGTGTGCAGGAATGCTTGTGAAAGGAAAGAGCGTTATGTCTGGTCGTATTCCGACCTTCAGTTCTCCTCCACTGCTGCCGATACTTCGCTGCTTCGCTTTGGGAGTTTCACTTTCTTCCCATGCGATCGACCTAAACGTGAAACGCCCCAGTGGGACGGACAAGAGGGTGAGAGGGCTGTCGTCCCTGCTCTGCGGGAACTTGCTAGACTACAGGAGTAACTCCGAATTCCCGGGCACCTTCAGCAGGAGCAGGGCCAGCGAGTAAGCTGATCTGCACCAGATTCCGAGCTGGGGAATCATGGTAGGGAAACAATGTACCTCACGGGATGAATGAAGGACTGAGAACACGTCCCAAAAAGGGGACACCTGAAAAGAAGTATTTTAACGCTTTGATGTGAAGGTGTTACATTGGATTGAGCTGCAGCCTTGCACTGCTTTAAACAATGAGACCGATCTAGCAAACTTTTAATAGTTTGCAGAGCCGGTCATTCAATTCGGGAGTCCATTTTAAATCCCATCTCTATTGCACAGTGTGCTGGAATAATGCGATAACTCTGTTGGACAATGGACCTTCTAAACCATTTCTCTTTGCTGACTGGTTCTTTGCAGGAATGATTGATTTGCTTATTTGGGCAAGAATAAAATAATCTTTAGCTGCTGTTCAAGGCTTTTAAGATTCTAAAATCCAAAGGCTTGAGTCTCTCTAGGTCTAGACCTGGGGAATCTGATCTCTCAGTACAGGGTCTGCCCTCAATTACTTAATTAAATGTATCTGGATAATAGCTCTTTTTCATTCCTTACAGGTCTGAAAATATTCGAGATTGTTTTGTCATGGTGCCCTGTAAACATTTAGAATGAGATTTTTAGCAATGCAAAACTGTTCAATTCAATTAGGAAAATAATAATTTCAGTTATTGGTCAGTTAGATGGGTGAGAGTTGGGTGAAATGACCAGCACTAAGATCCCTAGGAACAAGACTGACAATTTTACCACTAGAATCCTACTGTGTCTAATGAATAATATTATTGATAGAATATTACAATATATACAATATACAGGGATGCACAATCCTGATTCTGGAGGGCAGGTGCAGGTTTTCATTCCAGCTCAGTTCTTAACTGAAATCAGATGATTACTGGCCTACCTGGACCAGTTAAACAGCTTCTCCCAGCTCCTAAGGTGCAGCTGCTTTGAAGAGATCTAGAAAACCTGGATATGCTGTCGCTCTGGGACCAGGATTGTGACACCTCCGCTGCATATACATCTCTTACTATGTCTAGGAAGGTGTTCTGTTAGTGGTGTATTTCAAGACACTGTGGCTTAATTTTGCAGTCTAAAATAAAGACTTCTAATCATGATGGGTTAATACTGTTATTCTGCTTTATAAACATATTTATTTAAGGGTCTTCTAAATGCACCTTCAAAGCTTATATTGAGTCAGCTGAACTGATTATCCCCATTGCTCCTGTGAGTAATTAGTCACCTGCTGTTTGTGTCTCAGCTGAAAAAATAAAACAACACCACAAACAGTCAGGCACCGCTTAGTACAACTAACGTAATAACCGACTAAACTGATGGAAAGAGAAAAGTCAATTTTTATTGAGCTAAAATCTATATCCACCCATCATTTATGAAAATGATCATAATATATATTTTGGAGAAAAACAATATAACAATGGATTTATGCATTTGTCTTTTCCGTTTAGCTTCATCAGATAATTCCCTTCTGAGTTTAGCCCACTTTGGTCTATTTTCTTACTGGGGCGGGAGGAAACATTGCTTTGCTTATAGATTACAATAGACAAGTGGTAATAAATGTTTTTGATGTTAGATGACAGAGCTAACAGGAAAATGTTTCAAATTTAACTCCAGTGTCTGTTTTTTGCCATTAATAACTGTGCACAGAGTACATTTACAATGGTTTCAGATTTCTTTAAGAGGAGATTTAGGGAGCTACTAAAGAACATTTGTATATTTCACCCTGAGTTTGCCTTGAATAAGATAAACGAATCACTGAGCCCCAGTCCAGTCGGTCTTACAGGTCACCCTGAATCAGGGGTCTCCAGCCCTGGTCCTGGGGAGCCCCA